TCCTCGAGAGCCTGACGAAGCTGATCTTCGGTATATTGAGGCATTATATATAGAAGAAGACATGTGCAAAAGATGAGCCCATTTGGACGCGAATTGAAAATGTTGTGATAAAAGGAGGTTGGGGGTGGGCATTGGGTTGTGGTGGATTTTCGCGTTTTTGTGGGTGCCAGAAACAGGGGGGTGCCAGGAAGTGGGTATGTTGACTTAGTATTTCAAGCTGGCTGGGCCCCATTTTTCCGAGAGGGAGAGAGGACGGTGGTTGGCGATGCGAAGGTTTGGCTCGGTCTGATCCTCCCTTCGGTCTTGGCGAGCGTCAAGGTAGTTCTGCCAGTACCGCGCGCATGCCTCCTGAAGTTTGTCGTTGATGACTTTGCCCCGCACTTGCTGTCGGTCAAGGAAGTTCCGCCACGTTAACTTCGGTAGCGGAAAACCGCGCCGGTCTGTTTTCGTAGCTCGCTCCTCGTTGAGTTCGATGAGTTGCTTCCGGGCCGCGAAATCAATAGAAGCGGCCGTGGCTTTGTAGAGGATGCGGTATGGGTGTGCTACATCATTCGCTGCGCTTAGGGTCTTCGGCATGGTACCGGTTCCCCACACGGTATCGAGAGAACCGTATTCCGGGGTGTCAAGATTGCGAGTGCGATGTTTCTGACCGAGCTTCTCAAGGAATAGAGAAAGCGGCGGGACATTAAGTTCCTGGTGGACGACCGCGTTCGCTGTGGTCTGGTAAGCGCCGGCAACCTGTCGGAGACACGCCGCCTGTGCCTTGTCGAGCTTCGTGACCAAATTGACGCTGATCTGCCAGCGAACCCTGCGTTCGTTGTCTCGATAAAGGAACCACACGGGAGCGGCGTATGCGGCGATCGGGCGGACACTTGTGATAAACAGGCGTCTGATGCTGGCGAGAGAGGGCCCCCATGTCGAGCCGGAAATACGATAGATGGTGCGCATCTTGGCTTCCATCTTCTCGGTAACCTGTCTCCCACATTGTCAGCGGCGTACTCAGCTGTATTAAGCTTGTCAGGATGTACTCACCTCCTTTACGTGTGTGGCCCATGTCAAAGATTGGTCCAAGTAAACCCCAAGAAGCTTGATCACCTCCTCCTTCTTTGCCCCTTCCACACCAACGTCTGGTAGATCTGCCAATGGTATGATTCTGGGTGGCTCAGGTTCGTCGGCAGTTCTTGAGTTGGCCCCCCGAGTCTCCCTGTGCGGATTCTGAAAATGCATGATATGTGTCTTGGAAGGGCCAAAGGCAATGCCATGCGGCGCGGTAGCGGCAATCAGGTCGGTAAAGGCCGTTGTCAAGATTCTGCAGTTTTCCTCGTAGGAGGGTGAGGTGACCACCATGCAACTGTCGTCAACGTACGACATGGCTTGGAAGAATGGACTCGACGGCCAGATCTTGTTGAGTTCGTCCAGTATAAGAGAGGAGAACAAGGCGAAGAGAACAGGCGAAAGAGGGCTGCCCTGGGGAATGCCAATGTTGACCCAGAACTCCTCTGATGTGTATCCTGGAATAGACAAGGCAACGCGTCGATCAGAAAGAAATGAAGAGATGTACAGAACCATCCAGTCAGGGACACCTTTCCGAACCAAGATGTTCAGGAGAACCTCTCGATCGACATGATCGAAGGCGCCAGTCATGTCAATGGTCATGAGCGTTGCAAACATGCGCGGGCTGGCGTTCCAGCATCGGTAGACGCGATTCAGAATCAACTCGAGCGCTTTTGTCGTAGACCGTCGTGCGAATCCAAACTGATTGTAAGGGACAAGGTGGTGCTCAAGGGAGAGTATCGTCAAGCGATTCGACATGGCCTTCTCTACAACCTTGCCCATGCAGGATAACAAGGCGAGAGGACGCCAGCTCTTCGGTGTTTCGTACGTTGGCTTGTCCGCCTTTTCGACTATGACAGTCCTGGATCGTTTGAACTGCGCTGGATGATGCGATAAGAGAAAACAGGCATTTATGATGTGTTCAAGAATCGGGGCGATGATGCTTTCCCTCTCACTTTCGGGTTCTTGCTCATCTCTTGAAACATGCAGCATCTTGAGAGCCTCACCAGCAATCCCGTCCGGTCCTTCGGCCTTTCCGCTAGGGATACCGGAGATCAGCTCATAAATCTCTTCGCAATCGAGTTACTGTGGAGAGGAGTACTGTATTCGAGCGGGATCGAGTAGTGGACAGTTTTATACTAGTGCCGTTAGTCCGGTACTAGTCTTGGGCCAGATCGAACTAGTGAGACAACGGACCTTGTCTTAGGGGGCGCTGCAGACTTCGTAGGTTACTAAGTCCTTAAGATCAGGCATGTGAACTCGTGGTTATGCAGAGTCCCAACGGGCACCCACTCGAGCCAAGCCGTAGGTTCCTACCATGGCCTTTGTGCTGGATTCAACGAAATCGCGGTACGACATTGTCGAGATTTGCTTGACGAGTCTGTCCGTTTGTCGCCGAAGAAACTGCCACTTGCTGTAGAGCTTGTCGTCGTTGTCCTGTAGGGTGCAGTTGCGCCGAGCTGCTTCTTCAAGTTCGAGGCTGGCGTGGATACCTTTCCTCGAACTTGCGGACAGGACCGGTGATACTTGGTGGCGTAACGATCGGGACGAATTTCGCGATGCTCGCCTGCATCGCTTCCGTAACGGCGTCGATAAACTCCTCGAGGGCTGCGGGCGAGTGGAGAGGCGGCAAGCCGGAGCACGCACCTCATTCCCGCCGCCTCGGTGGCGTCGCACAACTGCCATGCCTTTGCATTGGGACTTAGACATCGGATACCGCTCTAGCGTGGGTGAGTGAGGTTGAAATCGCCGCAGAGCAGTGCTTCCTTGTCCAAAGTCTCCACTGTACCCACAGCGATTAAGGTACTGTACCTGGATAGCCCACTGTTCTGCCATAGACATAGCTTGGAAACCTGCCCCGCACAGGCACGGTTAGCGGAGATGTGGGCAGACCTAGGTACCTTCCCACCCAGGCCATAGAGTACGACTTTAACTGAAAGGTGCCTGGCCGATCACCCGACTTACGGCTCCACAGGCGATCTGAGAATACGCTTCCTCTGGCCTGCCTTTCTTCTTCCTAGCACGCCTCTGGCAGGGGTCAAGTCAAGGAAAGCAGCTGAAACTACACACTGTCTGTCCTGTCATATGTCTACGATTTGGCACGATGTGGGAATGCGCTGCAGAGGTGGGTAGCATATTGAATCAGTGAAATGAGACTCAAGGTCGTGCTGATCTTCGTGAGCGAGTATGCGCTTAGGTCTGGGCAATGTTTGACCAAGATTGCGTGACGAGGGGCGAGGTCAGTAAATGTCGACACTGCCATGTCCGGAAAACGTTCAAGAGCTGCATATCCCATGTTACAGATTGATACATGGCAAATCAATCCCTTTTCACCAGGTAAAAGCAGTCCCACGGCCTTCAAGCCGTGTAACGAGTCAAGATGTGGGTAGATAAGTAGGTGCCTCTCAATCCACGAAATCTAGAAGAGGGTTTCGAGAGTCCCGAGTGCGGCAATTTAGTCAAGCAACGTGCTGGTGGTAGTTGGATCGGTATATGTCCATAGAGGTGTCCCGTGAGGGAGAGTTGATTAGCATGCTGGTGCGACGTGCCTGTCGAGGTTTGTAAAACGGATGGCTGGAACCGTGATGGCGAGACTGCAGCCATAACGGTGTTGATGATTCAAGTAAGGCTAGCGTGACATTGGTACAAAAGTGTGACTCCTGCCCATCCTCCAATTTAGTTCCTCATTCTGTCACTAAGTGGTACTCTTTCAATACCTTAGACCACGAGCGCACCAGAGCTTTCACTGACACAGACGTTTCTAAACCACAATGAAGCTCCAGGTTCTCTATCTAGTTCTCCTCAAGTAAGCCTCCAATCTCTCTTACATAGCTCACAAATGTCGATGCTTACTTTCTACAAGCACCTGGATCGCCTCCGTCAACGCAGACTTCTTCCACTGTATCTGCCAGTCATGGTCATTCCACACTATCCGATCCAAAGAGGCCTGTATTTGGATGAAGAACGAATCCCTCCCCAAAGACCAAGTCACCATAAGTCTGGTGGGTGAAAGCGGCCCTTGGGCGGGTGCCCTTACGGTATGAAATATCTTCCCATCCCCTCCAAACCCCTTCGTGTGAAGCCGTAATGGCTGCTGATCTATGTCGATCCGCAGTGTCGCATGCTGAATCCCGCCAAATTTTGGGGTGCTCCCATTTGTTGGGGACAGTATGGCTACGACTGGCATGATTTCTGCAAGCCCGAGTGTAAGAACGACGGGAAGGACGCCGAAGACTGTATCAGGACCTACCGGTCAATCGCTTGATAAGACGGTGCTTGACGCAACACGTATTCGAAAAAGTGTACTTTAGTATAAGTGAATCTCAATATCATCAAGTTTTCAGTACTGCTCAAAAGCACTTTCCCTTTGAATACAGGGGAGCGTGGATTCCGTGTAACGTCGTCACCTCCATGTGGTCTTCCTCTGCAGTAATGCACAGCGCCTCGTTCTCGTGAGGTCAGCTTGTCGAGCACTTATTGGCAAAGACGTAGCCTTTGTATCCAATTATGGGCCAATAGCCCAAAGGTGACTGAGCAAAGGGGTACGCAGAGGGGCAATCATATCAGTCCGCCATTGTGAAGTATTCTCTAAATATGTGTATGTGTCCGAGTCCTAGAGCATAACAGCGATACCAAAGCCTTCCCCCTACCGCGACCTGGATATATTGGCACCACTATCCCATGAATCAAGGCATCTCGACCCGTTCATTGATTGCCGGCATCTCGTGTATAGCCCTTGGCTGATCCGCCAACTCCGAAGGGGCTTGGCCGACGCCGTGGTAGTAATACGGCGAGCCTGGAGTTCTCGGCGTACTGAGCGGACTGGGTGAAAACATGCTCAGAGTCATGTCCGAGACTGGCCGGCCCTGTCCTGCGTCCGAGGCTGTGGACGGGGTGTGGGGATTTATAAGGTTGTGTTTCTCGTCAGGCAATTCTGCAGGAACAGTCTGTTCGTGGTCATAAGTCTCAGTCTCATGGGTGTTGAGTACCGGGCCATGTCGGTAGCGACGACGTCGGAGTAGCATGAAGGCGACGAATAAGGCCGATCCTATGAGAAAGGCGGAGGAAACGGCAATGCCAGCAATAGCCCCGGTGCCTAGGGTTGAGTTGCTCGTCTCGGAGTCCACGGATGTAGTGGTGGCAGCTGTGGGTGATGTGATATTTACGACAAAAGTCCCAGTATCGGAAATTGAGGTAGTTGTGGTTGAAGAAGCCAGAGATGTCGTCGTGCCGCTGCTTTGCAACGGCGGCATTGATAGAGACGGTTTGTTTGCGGGGGCCGTATACGCCAATGGGACACCGCCAGTTGAAGGAATCGTTGCTGGGGCATACATTGCCAAAACCCGCCTTCCTAGATCTTTGCAGTCTTTGTTGGGTGGCAAAGCCTGAGGTTTCCAGGGCCAGACAGATTGAGTGACCTGCGGTCGCTCGGGTTCAGTCGGGCAATTTTCGCCGCAGGTATCTGGATGGTTGCAAGCCCAGTATTTCAGAATACCTTCGTTCTCAGTATCGCACCGAACAAGCCCTATCCATGGGGACTTGGCTGTCAGATTGATTAATTGTTAGTCCCCTAAAGGAATCCAATGGGTCATGGCAGAGGAGGAACGGACCTGGGTCGAGATCGCCCTTGAGGGGACAGATTTTGTCTGCGTAATTCGGGTCGTTACAGCCATACTGATAAGTCACGCCCGAATCATGATTCCAACAGGCTTCATTGACGCAGGCGTCCCCTGCCAGACAGCACCAACTGAAGCCACCTTTTGTTTCATTCGCCGGTAAGCAAGGGAGAAGGTTAGGTGGACCGACATAACCTGCATCAAAGTAGCACTGGTCATAGTCGTCGTTTTCGCTTTCCGTAGCGTTGACTAGGAGACCGAAGGCCAGATAGAGAAGAACGATAAATAGCGTTCGATCCCCCATGATTCCCGGCAGTCGCAAGTCGTACGCGTAATGGGCGAATTCCGACACACTATCGAAGCGATGGTCGACTCGAAGGTGCCCAAGGCCAGGGCGAAGTTGCTGTCGAGTCTGAAGTAGACGCACAAGCTGCGGTTGAAACGGCGGCCCAATGAGAGCAAAAAAGCGGCTCGATGGTTGAGTCTCGATGGACAATAGGAGAGAAAAACAGCGTAGAACAGCGGTGACAAAAGAAACAAGGAAAAAGGAGGCCAAGAGGTGAGTACTTGGGTGGACGATGTCAGGTTAGAAAGGAAGGTGAAGTGTGCTGAAAGAAAGAGCTCCTGCCTTGGATACCTGACTTATTGACACAGCAGGAGCAGCTGCCCTCCTCCTTCTCTTTTAATTCACCCCGATCGGGACAGGGCTGGATTCTACGGAACCTCGGACCTTTCTTGCCGTCCTCACCTCCCCCCATCTGTCACCTAGGTGTTGGTAGCCAACATGTTCGACCTTCTCTCTCTTTTGGCCTCGCTCTCAACAGGTAGCTCCAAAGCTGGTCTGATGCGAACTTCCTGCTTTTTCGCCGAAATTTTGTTTCTATCCTTCTCACAGGTTGCAACGTTACACAACGGCGAGGCGGTGGTGTTGTTTGCTCCTGGTAGGCTACCTGCCGGTGTTCCACGCCAATGCCGCCAATCAACCCGCGGGAGCCACGTCTGAAGATCAACTGATCTGCCATGATGTGGGACTGATACCAGACAGAGTTCCTTTCTTTCACCCTTCGCCACGCGGATGCGCACATGAAGACACCAGGATGATGGAAGCACGACTAGACACAGCGGTCGAGAAAAGAAACGGTCAGGAAAGAGCTGAGCATACCCGTGGGAGTTACAATAATGAAAGATGCTGGCACCTTGTGGGTACGATTCTGACTCCAAGCAAGGTACAGACGATCCGAAGGCGGCGTTACACGTATAACTCGTTTGGAAATCCCAGCCCATAATCAAACGTCCAAACGCCAATCCAAAGGCTGCCTTGCATCCCCCGTCGAAAACATGACCCTCATAAGTGACTCCTCACAAGTGCTCGAGATAGGCACCAGTACCCAGTTCAGAAACAACCATCTGTGATGGCTTGATAAGCTCCCATTCGCCCTGGTTAAAGGTGCTGGGCTCGCTGGCTACCACGACGTGCTCTCCATGCTTCTTCTTCTCTAGCCGCCCGTCGTCCTCGGCATCCCCGTCACCACCATCGGCCGAGTCACTCACGTCGCTTGGAAATCCCTTGTACTTGCGGTTGAGCGTTGCTCCAGCTGTCGTCGAGTAGTACAAACTCGGGGGTTCCAGTCCTTCCGGGCTGGCATATCGCACAGCGACGAGCGAGCTGCCAGACATGACAACAAGGTTGAGTGTGTTGGCCTCTCGGCTCGGCGGCCCAAACTCGGTCTGCAGTTTCTCGAGGATGATGATAGTCTCCCGCATCGCTGTCGCCATCTCTCCTGCATCATAAACAGACTCCCAGTCGCCATCCTTACCGCATAATATGAAAAAGTACACGGCCGCAATGTGCTCAGCATCTGTTGTCCCGACAACGGCCTGTTGGTATCTCAACGGAAGATATTGCAGAATTGCCGTACGGATACGAGGAAAAGACCCGAGGATGCCGTTGTGGGCGAACAAATGACGACCAAACGCAAAGGGATGGCAGTTGGTCTCTACGACTGGCGTCAGGCCTGGGGCTGCGCGGATGTGGGCAAGGACGGCATTGCTGCTGGTGCCTCGAACGATGCTCTTGAGGACCAGATCGTTGAGCGGAGGTCGAGTGTTTTTGTACACGACTGGACGAAGGGACTCGGGCCACTTTGGATCGATATAAGGGTTGAACTCGCACTCTGTCGACGTATACCACCCGAGGCCGAATCCGTCCATGTTGGTCAATGGATTCGGTGAGCCTGCGTCATTGGCAGCCAAAGGGGCGACCTGAAGCTCTCCAAGAAATGGTTCAACCGTTGAATGGCCAGCCGGTAGGAAGTGTTCGTCCACTACCGATATCATCATGAAAAGCCCCGCTGAAACGTCATGACAGAACACTCACCTTGCTTCACAATGGCATGGCGCGGCCGAATGACCAAATCTTCAAGAAGCTGGGCTTCATCGCCCAAGTAAGCAAACCAGCGACACATGACCAAGGGCGGATTTTTATTCGTGTCAATTGACCCCAAGAGACTTTCTCGATTGTTCGTTCTTTCGTGGAGATGAGCGATTGACGTTGAGATGGCAAGAAGGTAGTTGGCAGCCCGTCGGGATCACCTTCATTCCTCACGCTCGGTCATAGCGGACGTCTGATCTGAAGCAAAAAGCCCCGACATTGACCAGAGGCGTAACTGACGTCACGGCCTTTAGAGTTCTCTTGCGCTTGTACAGACCTCGAATTGGCGCTTGTACGGATATAGCGTGCCGTGTCGGGAAGCGCTTCTTGAAAGCACGACAGCTTCTGCCAGTGCGCTCCAAGGCTCGCCTTCGGCGTTGGGAAAAGAAACACAGAATCGCCGACGGATCATAATTATAGTCCCTTCCGGCTTGTCACTCGCAAGGAATGCAACCACGCAGGCGAAAGAGTGAACAAAAAGGCGAAGATTGAATATGCCTTAATTACCGCCTAAGAGCCAGTCCGTCTTGAACCCCAACATTGAAGGACCCTTTGGCCAAAGACGTTCAGCGCGGCGTGTTTGGCGGGAGGAGCCGCTAGGTGCGCCACGTTCTGATGAGATTTTGGCTCGAACGAAGCTTGGCTATGAGCTTGATTCCGGCCTGAGACCTGCCAGCGTCCCCAATTCATGCCTTTCGCCCCCTCTTTAGCTACCACGCATTAGCAGGCATAGCAGGCATCGAACAGAGATGATGGTGGCATGTGCGGCAAGCAGCATTCGAGACAATATCCGGCGGGAGTGGTTCCCGACCGAACGAGAAATGGAAAAGCCAAGATGCCGGACAGACCCGCCCGCCCGGCCATCACTCGGGGGCGACACCGGATTCCCCACTCATACTTTGACCGTCAGCACTTGGCCATATTAGGACCGCGAAGCTCGCGAAGCTGTCAGGGTGAAGCGTTGCCCAGTGTGCTGGACGGACTCAAGCTTCTGTCGTGGAAGACATCCCAAGAGCGAAGCGCGGCTGCACCTCATCCCAGCGTCATACTCCCGTGGGGGCTGAAAAGGGGCGGGCTCCAAGTAAACCCCCAAGGAAGACAGAAGACGAAACGCCTTTCTCAACGCTCCCAATGGCCGACATTGGCAAGGCCGGAGAAACCAGGGATGTCTCAATTGCGAATCCTGTGGTGACCGCTTGGAAATTGGGTGGCTTTCGGAAGGCGTCTTCATCTTTTGGGCTTACTTCCGAGTCCCAGAGCCTACTCGAACAGCTGGTCGCTGTTTTGGGGCGCTGCCTTGGCACAAAGGTACTCTGAAAAAGGGTTCGATGACCCGACGATGCATCAGAGTTGGTCGGGGGGTCGAATCCTTCGCGCGCCAAAGATCCCAAGTGTGAACCCATTTGGCGCTGATCGCTGCCGCGCCTGATTTCTCATTGGACAAAGCTGAGAATACTACCGTGACGGCCACCACCCTCCCTCAGCCTCTGGGCTGAGTCTCCTTGGGTAAAGTCAGGGGGCGATGCTCCCTTGAGACTCTTCTGCCTTGACTACCCACGTCTAGACTCAGGCTACAGGAGCAAGCTTATTGTAACGGCGGGCCAGTACCCCGTACAGACGGGTACTATTCTCGCGCCAGCCCTACCGCTGTGACGGCCGTGGAACGGATGGCGTCCTGAATTGTCTTGGACCAGCGAGCCAGCCGGTACAAGTGCTGATGACGCCCCGCCCCTTGTTGCGCGCGCGTGGTGTGGCACAAGACGGTCAATCCTGCATGTCGCTCCCCGAGTCCCCGTCAACAACAGTATCGAGAGAGTCCTCGACCAGTCTTCGCTGCCCATTTTGTCTCGCATTTTTACGTTCGGTCAGATTACCCCTACCTGATGCTTGGCAGCCTCATTTAAAGTCCTCCCCCTCCTCCTCTACTCTGTCGTCCCTAAGCGTGGCTTGTCTAGGTTTCCCCTCCGCGCGATGGCATCGCTACATCCGCACGACCACTTCTATTCCAACAGGCATAGCAACTATAGCAGTCACTCCCCATCCCCTGAAGCCGAAAAGATGCTCAAGCATCCAAACGGTGGGCCCGGACCCGAAGCCGATGCCATCCCGGATGGATTGGAGGTGAACACCGGAGCAAACTACAGCACGGCGCCGCAATCATATGAGCCGGCACAGACGCAACCGTACTATGACCAGCTACAGCATCAGCATCAACACCAACCTCACACGCCACAGACGAACTACACCGAGACGACGTACGCTCAAAATCAGCACTCGCCGATGCCGGAAAAGCAGCTGGCGGAAAGGAAGGGAAGCAAGGACGACGACACAATATGCGGGCTGCGCAAGGCCACATTTTGGTTGTTGATTCTCTCCAGTCTGCTGTTCTGCGCCTTGGTCGGTGTGGCGGGCGGATTAGGTGCTTTGGTGGCAAGCAAAAACAACGAAATCGCAAAGTAAGTTCCTCGCCTACAACACACGAGCAGCCGCATTCTCACAGCAAAACTAATACATCTCCACAGCCTCCAATCGCCATCCTCCTCTTCATCAACCGCCACACCCACCTCGGCGTCATCGTCAGCTGCCTTCGACCTAAGCAAGCCCGCCGCCACGGACACGCCCATCGCGCTCAACAAGTGTCCCGGGTCCAGCTCCGTGTTGACATACCAGGTGCCCGGGACGAACCTGACGTTTAGTAAGGATTGCGGGACGGATTATCTCTACAACGACATCGCGCAGGTGCCGGCCAAGAATTTCGAAGAGTGCGTACGGTACTGCGCGGCGTTTA